TCAAACACCAAAACCTAATGTGCTACTATGTTTTTCGTGAAACAGGCATGGCATTCGACAGCTTCGCAGTGGTTGGGCTGATGGACCAGCATATATAACTCAGTGCCCTATTCAAACTGGCCAAAGCTATGTCTACAACTACACCATTGTGGGCCAAAGAGGAACACTCTTCTGGCATGCCCATATTTCGTGGCTAAGATCAACAGTCTATGGTCCTATAATTATCCTCCCCAAGCGTAATGCCTCTTACCCATTTGCAAAACCCTATAAGGAAGTTCCCATCATCTTTGGTAATTATACACTATCCACAAGTGAAATGCATTAAAATTCCCTAGACCCTTTTATTGAATTCCAAATTTACCGAGACCGTCTGATATAAATTATTTGCAGGTGAATGGTTCAATGCTGATCCTGAGGCCATTATTAGCCAAGCATTGCAAACTGGTGGTGGTCCAAATGTCTCTGATGCCTACACAATCAATGGATTTCCCGGGCCTTTGTACAACTGTTCTGCAAATGGTATGAAATGCTGCAATCTTTTGGCATAATTAGATCACGACTGAAAGTATCAGCGATATCAGCACCGATTATCTGATTATTTCTGGCTGATTTTGACAGATACATTCAAGCTGAAGGTGAAGCCTGAAAAGACTTACCTTCTCCGTTTTATCAACGCAGCACTCAATGATGAGCTCTTCTTCAGCATTGCAAACCACACACTCACAGTTGTTGATGTCGATGCCAATTATGTTAAACCTTTTGAGACGGACACAATTCTCATTGCCCCTGGACAGACCAGCAATGTTCTTCTCAAGACCAAACCTCACTTCCCAAGTGCCACTTTTCTCATCGAAGCTAGACCATATGCCACTGGCCTCGGAACCTTCGACAACTCCACCGTCGCCGGTATTCTTGAGTATGAACCACCATTCCTTCATTCAGCTGTTTCAATGATGAAGCTTCCTCTCTTCAAACCAACCCTACCTCCTCTCAATGACACTTCCTTCGCCACCAACTTCACCAACAGGCTCCATAGCTTAGCCAGTGCTCAATTTCCAGCAAACGTTCCCCGGAAAGTTGATAAGCACTTTTTCTTCACTGTAGGCCTAGGAACAAACCCTTGCCAGCAAAACCAAACCTGCCAAGGTCCCAATGGAACCAAGTTTGCAGCTTCAATTAACAACATATCATTTATACAACCAACAACTGCCCTCCTCCAATCCCACTTCTCCGGCCAATCCACCGGCGTTTACAGCCCATACTTTCCGATCAATCCGACTCACTGGTTTAACTATACAGGAAACCCTCCGAACAACACCATGGTTGGCAATGGAACCAAAGTTATGGTTCTGAAATTTAACACCAGTGTGGAGCTAATCCTGCAGGACACAAGCATTCTTGGTGCTGAGAGCCACCCTCTGCATCTCCATGGCTTCAACTTCTTTGTTGTTGGTCAAGGATTCGGGAACTATGATCCGAATAAGGACCCTAAAAACTTCAATCTCGTCGACCCTGTCGAAAGGAACACTGTTGGTGTGCCCTCCGGCGGGTGGGTTGCTATACGGTTCTTGGCAGATAACCCAGGTAAGTTGAATTAAACACCATAATATACAAGCTAATAAGTTCTAATTATACTTCTCAAAGCATGCATGCAAATATTCAAGTAGCCATTATTACAAGAATTTGCACGCTTCATCGCAAATATATATATTTTTTTCAATTTCTTTTTTTTTTAACCTGGTTTGAAATTTTTTTCCTCTATCAGTCATCCTCATGGATGGGAGCACTATTGTTTTTTCCTCTACCACCATTATAATTTTTTCACCCGTTGTTTAATATAGTTGTTATGCGAGTCTTAGAGTAGCAATAAGGTTGCTTCAAAGTAATATGGGTATTTTAGAAACAATCTCTCCCCTTACTAGATAAGGCTGCACCAATGGTTGAAAACTCGTGCATTAAATGACACGTTTTACTTTCTATGCAATGTCAGGTTATAGGATTATATAGTTATTTGCAGAAGTAACATAATAATGTCTTTTCAGAATTGCAATTGAGCTATGCTAAATGGGAATGTTTGTTGATTTGTTTCAAGTGATAATAATGGTTAACACAATACATGTATGGCAATAGGTGTATGGTTCATGCATTGCCACCTGGAAGTCCACACCAGCTGGGGTTTGAAGATGGCATGGCTTGTCTTAGATGGAAAGCTTCCCAATCAAAAGCTCCTTCCTCCACCAGCAGATCTTCCCAAATGCTGATCTTCATACCTTCTCTGCCCAAATTGCCTGAAGTGTTTTCTCTGTTTTTCCAATTTCCCTTCCTGGCATCCATTTTTCTACTGACTTGTTTTGTCCAGTTTTGGTATTGACATTGATTTCTATAATATGATTTGCTCATTCTGTGGAGTTAAGAGAAGAAGAGTGGATCAAGTGTTTGCAACTTTCGGATTGTAATAAGTTTATGCAAGAACATCTCAAAAATATTATTTAGCCACTTGAATTTCCTTTTTTCTCTTTCAAATTACTAGTAAGGCATGGGAATTCGGCTCTTTTTTATTTGGTATACGTGAACTTGTATTGTTATCTTAACAAAAATGTACACTGTGCGAGTGGATAAGCAAGCCACAGCAGACTATGAAGCTTATACTCACCTTCTTAAAACAGGGGAGGGATCCGCTCCAATCAATGCTTACTTATAAGCAAAAAGGGTTATCACTTATCAATAATCAGGCCTTTGAATAAGTGAGGCTTTCCCAGTAGTAAGATTTGCAACAGAAATTCTAATTTTGTATATCTGGCTTTTGATACAAACTAAGAAGCAAAAGTACGAATAAGGGTGCAATATGAATACGGATACATATACGATGATACGTAAAAATTTTAAAAAATATGATATGGATATAACTCTGATACGTCTATAATAAAATTTATTTTATTATTTTAATATTATTTAACGACTTAAAAATTATTATTTTCAATAATTATTTAGTAGTAGTAAGAAAAATTATAATTTTTTACCTTAAAAAAGGTATAATATCACCTTATTATGATATATCCATAAAATGAGGATGACCAATTAAAAGAATCAAAAACCACATTTAACTAATTAGTTTGTTTACAAGTCAGTGTTTTTAAGATTATAGTGCAACTAACAAAATTTTTTATACTCTTTTGATATGTAATAATAGATAATACTTAAAAAATTACTCGTGTTTTTGAAATTAGATGGAATTTTGATGATATTTTGTATTGTATGTGAACTCGAAATGAGAGGGTATAGATTAAAATTAAAAATTATACATCTTGCTCAATATTTAAAAGTATCTGCAAAATATCCACATATGTTTATTAATTATCGGATATGTGTGATACGTATCCGACACATATTTTCGAATATCTAACAAGTATTATATTTGATATCTTGGCGAAGTATCTGTACTTCATAGGATATAATAGAACCTTAATCTAACAAAAGTGCTAGTTTTTTGAGGTATTCATACACAGATATGCATAAAATGAAAAATGATTGATGGTTTATAATATGCAACATGTTATAGAGAATGTTGCAAGATAAATTTCTGAATCGAATGGAACCCGAACTTGAAATTGAGGGAAAAAGTTAGGAACCCTTCACACCAGTAGCTTTCCCACTGTTGGTATCTTTTCAAGTGAACTTTCGAAGAGCCAAAGGCATAATTATATATCAACGATACTGCAAAGATAAAGATTATAACTATTACAATAAAAGGGTAATTTGTCAAAAAGTGCTCTATCTCTTTCTAGAATTTTCTCTCTCTAGACAATTCAGAGAACGGGAGAGTTGGGAACGGCAATGAATGCTAAAAACTACCGATTGATCTTGATGAACCTTGATTCTACTCAAATGGAGGAGGATCCCAGTCAATCAGCGGAGGAAGATGATCACCTCCAAAGAAGCACCAAGAAGCTTAAAGGAAGTCATGATCACCTGGATGAAGAGATGATTCTGGACCCTCAGTGTAGGATCCTAGAATCCGATAAAGCCCCCCAGAAGGAATCCATGAGTTCCTTACCTGATCAGTCAAAAGAAATGAACTACAAAGCTGCCCTATGAAAGATAACAATTCCATTTATTTTGACCCAGAGATATATGACATCTCCTCCGATGAAGAAGAAACAGAGTACGATCCAGACAAGGACTCGAAGAAGGAGGATATGACAGTTATTCATAATGCAGATGAGAGCTGCCCCAAGATCACACTATCGCAGAAGACGATCCAGAAAACCAGGAGAAAATGGAGGAATAGTCTTATTGTTAAACTTCTAGGGAAATCCATTGGGTACAAAATGTTCGGTACACGGGATAATTCCTGCAATAGTACGAGATAGTTATCTTCAAGCTGGCGAACCTGAAACAACAGAGTCAGAAAAAAGGGGTCAGACGAGCGTCCGACTAATTCCCTCTGAAGCTTAACTCAATATAAGGTCGAAAGATTTTGCTCAATGAATTATTTTTCAAGTTTGCGTATTTTTGTTCATTTTTTTGAGGAGTATTTATACTTGAATTAGCAATGATTGTCAAAGATCTTCAGTCTCATCTGGACATCTTATATCTGACACACCATTTCTCGTGCAATGAGTGTTTTTTACTCACATATCCTCCTATTGAATGCTAGGAAAATGGGATAAATACTCGGCCAAATGCCTAGCATTTATGCCATTCCCCGAGTATCCAAATCCTCCAGATCGGCATCCGACATTAACTGAGCATTGAATACTCGGGGAAACAGTTCCTCGGGAGAGCCGATCGCGTCATCTCGGCGCATCAACCATTAATGCTTAGGCATCATGACAATAGACTTAGACTCCTAGAGGGCAGGTGTTGGCAGACGCGCATTTATTTGCCTTGTCACTATCACTCATTCCGCCATGAATGAGAGGTCACATCGTATTAAATACGATGTCAGCTGTCGTAATCGGCTGCTCTATGTCACCATACCTCGATTTACCTCCTCGACACCCTTTGGATATCCCAACGGCTTCATTATTCCACGTGTCAACCCGGGGACTGTAGAGCCACCTAGAGTCCCGTCAACTGCCCCTCAGCCGCCATCCTTTTCACAGTGTAAGACAAGTGGCGGAAAGAGATTAGGGGCTCCATTATCACGCCTTATTAATAGTGACGGTTACTTGCACGTCTGGTGCCGCCCTTTTCAAATGCCCTAATGATGACCCAACTTTTTGATTCTCGCTCCCTGTGAAATAGTATAAATAGGAGGTTTTCATACCTTCTCAGAACTTTCGCATCCTCAACCTCTCTTCAGTAATCAGACCACGAGTGCTCCTCTGTTCTTCTTCGAGTTTCCCTCATCCTCCGAGCTCTCTCTTTGAAGACCACCTTCCTGTAAGTACTTCCACTTGAGCTTTTTCTCTCTTCGTTTCCTCTACATTTCATCCTTTTAGCGCCCACCAATGGCTAGAACTAGTAGAACCAGGAGGGAGACGTCTGTTAGGGCTATGACTACTCACAAGATGAGGAGAACCCAAGTGACTGATGAGAATATCCAATCCTTTAGGGTTAGGTACCACATCCGTGAGCCTGTCTTTGTTTTCCCCTTCGACCCCACTCACTATAGGAGGGATATGGAAAATGTGGACATGATGTCTTTCTGGACGAAGGCCATCATGGAGGGAGAGTTGACCTTTCCCCTCCATCCCCCTGTTGCTGGGAGTGTTGATGTAACTAAAGCTCTTTCTCCTTCAATGTGGGGTTAACTTCTTTAGAATTGTGATGGGCGTAGTCGCCTTAAACGCTCAGCTGGGGACCAACTTAAGAGTAGATAAAATTTTATTCTGCTATGACCTAAGACTAGTCGTCGGGGGACAATTTTAACTCCAGGCTCGAGACGCCTCAATGTATCTGGTAACCCACATGCCCAATTCAGACAAGGGGTTTGTAGACGATCTGATTATGCTCGACGGAAGTTGGGAAAAAGGGACCGGGCCTGAGTATGACGGATTGTACTGCCCCAAAGTGCCAAGGGATGAAGGTGTGTTTTCTTTTCGACTTCTTGATTTTGCTATTCTTGGGTCCGAGGGACACACTGATTTTGTTTTGCTTTTGCAGAAGGATATCGCCGGGACGCTGCTCAACCATTGAGGTCCCAAGTCTGATTTGCTGACTTGCTAAGGGTTTGGTCCTCGGACCTAATTGAGCGAGCGACGCATAATTTCCTCGGCTACACGCCGACTTACAGTCGATTCTCCCAGATCCCACCTCCTTTCAACCCTTCTGTTTGGGAAGACCATTCCTCGTCGGAAGAGGAAGAATCCGAGGGAGATTCCGAAGAAGAGTCTGATCATCACGCTCCCGAGCCCCTTGCGCCTGAAATATTTAATCCACCACCATTCACCGCTGCTACAATGGAGACCGCTGCCGGAACAAGGAGAGTCAGGCTCGCTAGGTTGGTCGGGCCTTCCAACACTGCCTCCATCATCCCCCCGCCTAGTTCTCCTCGAAGGCAACCGCTATCGCCGCATATGCAACAATTCAAGGACCTGGCCGTGCTGACCAAGCAAAAGCCCCAATCTCAACAAGTCCCCGCTCTGGGAGACCGGTTGAGGGACAGGAGTGCCCAGGATGTCGAACAATCTAAGGAGTGCTGTGTGAAGCAGCGACATGATGCCTTAGCCCCGAGCCCGTCTGTCTCGGGCGAGTGGGTTACTTGGGCCAAGACCAGGAGCGGCCGCCCTGTTCTGGAAGCCGACTCAATCCTCCAATCCCCCGAAGTGGCGTTTGCCCTTACGGAGACGCTTCAATTTGATGCCGATATGGCCTTGTACAAAGGTTACTCGGACAATCGGTTTATGATCCGCACTATCTAAAACAACCTGGTGGTAAGTTTAACACTTTCTCAAGTATTCCTCGCACCCTTTTGGTCGTTCCCTAATATTCCTCCTTTTTCAGGCCAGCTAGCAGGTAAGGGCCATAATTGAACATTTTTAGGAATATAAACAAGAGGCGAAGAATGCCGAGCGAGCCGTAGCTGCTAAGGACGACCACATCCTTAAGGTCGAGAGGACCCTCAGCGACCAAACCAAGCACATCGCCAAGCTCATCCACCACCGAGATGCCATTCATGCCGAGTTGGAAAAGACCAAGGCGGGTGAAGCTGCGATGATAAAGAAGGTCGAGGAGTATGAGCTGCGAGTGTCCTCCTCCGAAGCCAAGCTGCAAGAGTTCGAGTCTATAAGTAACGTTCTTACTACCAAAGTGGACTCCTTCATAGCAGAGAAAGCGGGGGAGTAGGAAAGGCTACAATCGGAATGTCAGGGGGTGTGGGCGGTCACTCAAGACCAAATGGCCCCTCCTTTCGAGAAAGCC